AGAGAGAGAGATAAAGAAAGACAGAAAGACAGAGAGAGAGAGAGAGAGAGAGAGAGAGAGAGAGAGAGAGAGACAGAGACAGAGACAGACAGAGACAGAGAGAGAGAGACTGAGAGTGACCATCCATCACCAGGGGGCTATCTGAGAGCAGCTGACCGCGGGGACTGATGGTATTTCCCCAAGTGCCGACGACACTTCTCCCCCTGCTCATTCCTCCGGCCACTCATGTTTTTTTTGGGAGGGACAAACCGGTCAGTCCCTGTGTGAGCGGCAAAAACATCATGAGAGGCGGCGACGAGACCCTGTCATGTTCCACTTACCCCGTTTTCTGCCGTCCTTCACCTTGCTTTAAACAAACTGGTCGTCTCGCTGACTGACCCCTGTGACCCACATCAGCAGCGAGAGTTCGCGAGAACTGGGACGACTTTTAATGCGATCCGATTAAAACGATGAAATCTTTCACTAATTGAGGAAGAGGTCTATGGGTCTGGTGCACGCTATGGCTGGAGAGATCAGTGTCGGGCCACCCCCAAAGAGGTATTATATAATACTTTAAGATCGCAGTCGTGACGTCACACGTGTCACACATGGGGGTCTTCTTACCCTCATCGCCATGGCCGGTGTGCCCCCATTTAGATGAACAAGTTGGTAGTTTCGATAGATTTTAATAGGAATAGGGCAGGAACAATTTCACTTTTAAAAGCAACTCCGTCATTGTTTGTTCTTTTCTTATCGCGAAATAATGCTTATTGAACGCATGTTTTGAAAACTTTTATTAGTGTGCACCTATTTAGTGTGCACCTTTTTAGTGTGCACAATAAAACGGATTTCTTGTAACAGGTTTTGCCACTAAAAAGTGTCATTGGTAGGCAGTGACTTTGGCCATACGCGTGTACAAAATGTGTTCAAGAAGCGGGTAGTGCTGTGAACAATTCTATTTTCCGCGTGACGGAGATTTGCAGTATTTTGTATATTATATTCACGAAGAAAAGTTTTTGGGTATAGATTCTAGCTTCAACTGTTGTGGAATATTATGCTTAATTTAAGACAAATTGATACAAACGTCTGCCCAAAGCATGTCGAGTGACATTGAATCAAGCGTTAAAGAGATATTTGAGGATAAGTTGCGCTACGAGTTTTTGACCACAGTAAAGAGAACATAATCATCATCCAGTGCCAGATCTGCGACAGACATCGGCGATCATGGTTTTCCATTCATCCCTTTGCTCGGATGCTCTCAGAAAAGCTACGTTTCCCTGATCTTTCCCTGTTACCCATCTGTTTAGGTTCCTTAAGTATGTT